TTTAATCTATTTTCAACGTAAAGTTATCTGTATTGAAAAAAAGCAAATTATTTAAACTATGTAGCTACCAAACAATTTCGGCATCACCTTCATTTATTATTCTAAAAAATAGCAGTAGTAATAGTAGTAATTAATAGTTAATAATTACTTCTTGTATTTCCCTATATTTTCTTAAACATTTTAACCTCTTTTTTCTATTGTGCTAATCTTCTAATGAAATACTTTCTCTGAAATGAGAATATTAAATGAAGAAGACGCCAATAAAAGTTAACTATGCTGGTATAAATTAGACGCTTCATTGATTTCTGTATTCTAGTATATAAATATGTCGATAATATAAGTGATGGTGAGTAGTTGAGCGGTATATATATATATATATATATATATATATATATATATGTACATCCATAAACGCACTAAAATCAACAAAAAAGGTAGTTAAGACCTTCCGTAGACTTCACTGAACGATAATCTTCAAGATAAGGGTGCAGCAGGTCGGGTGTGAGGAGAAATACTTGTAAGACATTCGCTAGGGGTCGCGCTATGTCGCGAATTGGCAGAAGTTAGAATTCACGGGCCATTGGATAGGGTCTCAATGGCTTATTGGTATACGACGTCGCCTTGCAATCAGAGGGTACTGGGTTCGAACTCTGGAGGTGAGTGCGTACTGATAAAGAGTTCTAAACTAGACTGACGAAACAGCCGTCCAGTAGTCCCTGCAGGTTTTCCAATGGTTCTCTAACTGATGTCAGCTCATGATGAAATCCTGTAATCAATCAAATCCCTACAAACCAACACGTGAATCTTTAAGACTATATGTACATATTGAAATGCTTGTGTTTTCTCAGTTGTGTAGTGGTTTAACTGGGACGACGGGCTTTCACTGTATTGTTTAGACATTTTACCCGAAGACTTCAGTATGTGATGAACTTATATGAATCCTCCTCAAATGATAAAAAAGTCTCCGTTGACAATCTTTTTTGTGATTGATTGTTAATCTGTATTAGTATTTATCACTTTTATTGGCTTGGAATTTGGCTTGACCAGACAAATTTGATCTAATAATAATAATAATAATAACAGCTTTATTTCAAACGGTATTTGTGGTACAGGTATGCAATTTTCAGTGTGCATTACAATATATTGCAGTATCTAATTACCTCATCAATTTTACAAGATTTTAAAATCAAAAAGCAACACAAAAAGATAAATTAAAAGGAATAAAAACAACAACGTTGCGTTTACATTTCAAACAGTGCACCACAGGATATGAAATATAAAATTGGTGTGTAACAGAAGAGGTGAACAATAGTGTAATAGTAACGGGGACAGGAAAACAAAAACCAATGGAAACTATTTGTTAGAGTGCCGCAGTAAGTAGTTGGCCGTGTCATACCTAACGGATTTCTCATCACATAACAGCTGTACCAGATATGGTATTGTGGAGTTTTTCTACTTGGTAGTCCTAGCATATAGCCTCCTATAGCTGCTTCTAGCTTTACCAGATGAAATGCAAAGAGACAGCTGCGTATAGAGAGGATACTCGGGGTCTGACAGTATTGTATTCGCTAGTTTCTTACACGACATTATATGTCTATCCAGCATAGTGTTAACCAGTTGGTTTAACGATATCCCACTTCCCTAATAACGGCTTTTAGTGCCCTTCTCTGCAAAGCAAACTCTTTCTTAAGTAGTCCAGGAAAGATTAATGGGGAGCAGTAAAGGGGAATGGGTAGAATACAAGAATTTACAAACTGAGAAAGCAAAGACTGCTTTATGCCAGACTGCCTAAATTTCCTAGCGTAGAACGTTAAGCGAAACATCTCTCTAGTAACTAGCAAGATGTGGGAGGACCAGGGAAGATCGGTGGAAAAACTGATCCCAAGGTACTTGACATTGGATGTATCTTCATCCTCTATGCTGTCAATGATAGTGGGGCCATATGAGCTAGCTAGTTGTTGTAGGTCACGTTTACGTCTGAAAGTGAAATTGACTACCTGACATTTAGACGGATTTAGCTTAAGACCGTTTGAAGAGGACCACTGACTAATTTCCGACAGAAAGTTATTTAATTTGGAACAATCTGACTGACAGTTGATAGGCATAGAAGCAGTGAGGTCATCAGCATACTTGAAAAAAGTGGCTACATCAGAATGGGACAAGTCATGTAAGAAAGAAGAAAACAGAAGCGGAGAAAGAACAGCACCTTGAGGAACACCAGCTTAAGTAAGTGAGGTAGTGGAGGACTTTCCATTGTAGACGGTGTAATGCTTCCGATCAGAAAAATCTATGGTCTATGTGTCAGTTAATCGCTGATTCATCTGAGTACCGGGTTTCTAGAAACTCTGTTTATAATTTCTACATTTTCCCAGGGAAGTTGGTGTCCGTAGTTGTCTGCATGCACTGATATGAAAGGATAACTCTTGTGTATTTTGACAGCTTGTTTATGTTCCTCAAAGTGAAGTTCAGGAGGATTCCCACTTTGATAAGTATAGTGTCTAGGCAAAGCAATAAGAAGACGTAATTTTTCTAAATCGTATATTGTATTTGCACAACACACATTTCGAACAATCTGATCACGAAAGAACTTGTCATAAGAATATATATGAAATTATTGAAGAGTTAAGGTGAGAAAATAGACTTAGGTCCAGTTAAAAGAACATATTCAAGGTCAAAATAACAATGAAGATCGCTAAAACAAATAATAGAGCTTACTGTGTAACAACAGAAGACAAAGGTCAAGCAACAGATCGTTTATTAAGGAAATCAACACATATTTATAGATTTTCATGTACATTAGTATAGATTATTGTTAGCAGACAAACACAGTCTTCTGATTGGCTGTTTCTCACCGAAAGTTGACGCTGCATCTCTTTGTGACTGTTTCTTGAATATCAGATCATATATATGTTAACTGTATTCGCTTACGCTAAGCCTTTCTTCTCATTTTTCTCACGACCAATATTGAGGACATAAACATTGACGTAAATTACTGTCCACCATTTTTGACTAACAGCTAGCTCTCACCACAATAGTGCATCTACCCTAGCTGGTATCAAAACAAAATTTACCAAAGAAGGTTTAATGCGATGACGAATTGTTTTGATCACATAAAGGTGTTTTAAACTTTCTAATTGCCAGCTGGGGCTTCCATAAACTTTAGGATACGCCCCAAACACGTTTCGTAGATAGTTTTAAAAAATGTGTTAACGTCAATTCTATGTCCTGTCCCTATAATATGTTTCGCAATAGAAGAGCTAGGTCTCCTGTTCGCAACATTAATTGGTTCTGAAGATTGCATTTGTTTCTGGAGCCACTTAGGAATATTGTCTGAAGCCCTTACTTGCAGAAATCGATGAGTCCTCCCTATGTATGTCTGTGTGGCCACACGTACATTCAAACGGTAAATACAGAGGGATGCAACATCATTTTTCGCATTTTCTAAGGCCTTTGATGGATATATTGACTTCACATTCTCAAATATTATGATATTAGCTGCATAAAAAGTCTTTTTAGTAGCAGTGTTCAACCTTTGTCCAGTTGTCAAGCTGGTATAATCCTCGATGCTGGGATTTTGTAGTGCAAGATCCACCACTGCCTCCTTCTGCGTATAGAGATTTGGTTTTAGCTGTTTGATAGCGTTAGCCTCAGCAAAACAAAGCCCTAAAGTTTTCCACAACACGACTGGTTTCTAGCAGATGGCGTGCAGTAAAAACAGTAACCACTCTCTCAGTCACTGTATGAAAAGCTCAAGAATAAATGAAAGAAGAATATTCATCAGAAACGAAGTCCAAGACAGGAGAGGAAACTTAGTGTAAAAACATGAAATAAAACAGCAGCAAGCTTGAAGTAATCATATATGTAGACTCCTTGACTGATGTATGTATGATAGCTCACTAAAAGTGTGAGGAACTGTATGCAGATGATAAGGCCTGTGTTTTAGAGGAAACATGTCTGACTAATGGTTAATGTTTCATTGAGAAGACTCCGAAAGAGTTCTAAATTATTGTAGTTGTGTTTTCACAAACTGTATGTAACATCCAAGCGTGGAATATAACACTAATTCCCTAAGATCAAGTATTAGTGGTTGCACAGTGGTTACGACGATCGCCAAACATGAACGTGGTCCGGGGTTCGACCCCCTGCCGACGCACATATGATATCAGTGGTTGGCCTGCAAAATTTGGGCTACCGAAATCATACGCTGAAAATAAAATAAAATATAAAGATGTCTCTCACCTTGTCCATTCTGACAACCTATTTTTAGAAAACCTTCAGCCTATAAATTAATTGGATATTACCAATTAGCCTCATCAAAATATTATTTCAGTTTTTTATTAGTTGCCTCACTTTGCATATAAATTTATTTTAATTACCCCAGTCCTTTCTCCTTTCACCCCTGCACTTACTTTGCCATTTTGAAGTATACTACTTATAAGTAGTTTGTTTTGCTTTCGTCAATTAATCTCATCATGGTTTCGAATATTTGCTATTGCAAAAGAATGTCTAGAGAATAACGAGAGTAATTTTCAATAATTTCTTCATTGAGTTCTACAATTATACATACATATATTCATATTCATGGAACACTTATTGTTAGTAATAGCATTACTGCTTTGAATAACATCAAATGATTAAGACCAATCGATTACAGTGAAACGCATTCGTGTGTAATAAGATGCATTAACATAACACTAAACTGAATATTAGATAAATTAAGAGAAATATTGTAGTCTTCATGAGTTTAGATGCTGCATTAGGCCAGAGCAGCACCACATATTTCTTGCTATTGATTCTGCTTTAGCCAAATTTATTCGTTCCCACCCCCGATCAAAGATTCTTCAAATACTAGCGTTATGGATTGTTTGGACACTGTGAGTGACTGATGGTCCTAGAAACTTTATTCAATAAATAATATTGTACGGCTTTGCAAGGACTGGCGCAGCATCCCGCTCCTGTCTATCTCAAGCAAAATACTAAGCCGCATCATCCTGGAGAGAATCAAACACGCCCTGGATGAAAAACTCCGACCAGAACAGGCTGAATTCAGGAGAAACAAGTCATAATAATAATGATTTACTTTATTCCAAAAACAGTACTTGTGATACAGAATGGAATTTTCAGCATTAATCACAATATTGCATCTAATTTCCTCAAATTATAAATAAAATTAATCACACAGAAAATTTTCCACATTTACAATAGACGTAGTGTCAGAAACATGCAGCATATAAAATGGAAATAATAATGATAATAGCTAGGGTAATAATAGTAATACAAGTGAAAATTACCGTGGGCTTCTTTCACACAGTATTGGCAATGTGGTATAGAAATCCTGACGTGTTTAGAAATGTTGAATATAATCTTCTCTTTACATGATATGGTGAGGGGAAAAACAAAGATTACAGCAGTCATGGAGATAAGTAGGTGCTTGCAATTATTACAGTAAAACAAAGAAGTAGCAGGACCATAAATATAATAGAAATAATAAAAGTAAAACTTCAAGTTATATAAGGATGGATGGAGGAAATTGTTTATTTACTAGATGAAAAAGGTTAGTTAACTCTTCCCTGACACTATTTTCATCACAAAAAATATGTGCCAAGTATGGCGTGCGAGCATACAGTTTTCTGAAGTTACTTCTTGTTCTACCTGAGGAGATGCAAGGTGAAAGCTGAGGGTAAAGTGGATGCTCCGAGTCAGACAAAATCCCTCTAGTAAATTTATTGCACAAAGTCAATTGCCTATCGATAACAACATTAGCTATGTGGTCCACTGGGACACCACTCACCCTACTGACCGTCTTCAGCATTCTACGAATTGTGACATAGTCCTTTTTATGCAGACCGGGAAAGAATAAGGGTGAACAATGAAGAAGAATAGATAGGATGCAAGAGTTTATGAACTGTAGGAGGAGGGGTTGAGTTAAACCCAAGTGCCTTAACTTCTTAATGTAAAATATCAGGCAGAATATTTTACTGGCGATCGCTAAGACATGGGAAGACCAGCAGAGATCAGAAGAGAGAATAAGTCCAAGATATTTAATTTCTGATTGGATTCCTATATCATTGTCGTCAATCTTACAACTGTCATGAGAGTCGATGACTTCTTTTAACTGTCTTTCACATCTTAGGCTGAAATTAAGAGTTTGACATTTAGAAGGATTCAGTTTAAGACCGCTAGACTCAGACCATTTACTGACTCCCGACAGAAAGCTATTTATTTTGGTACAATCTAGCTCGGAGTTAACAGCCATTGAAACTGTTAAGTCATCAGCATACTTCACAAAGGTTATTTCATCAGAGTGAGGCAAGTCATGCAAGAAGGAAGAAAAAAGAAAAGGAGAAAGGACAGCGCCTTGAGGGACACCAGCTTCAGCAGGCAAGGAATTAGAAGACTTCCCTTTATACACGGTGTGTAGGGGACTGTTACGAGAGTTCATTAACATCACAAATATGAGAATAATAATCCAAGTCAATGAAACGTTAAATAACAATATATTACCAAAAAAATACAGTAACGAGTTATATCAATAAAAAGGATTACTTGGATATAAAGTTTAAGTCCTCTGCTACAAATTATTTATATAATCCACGGGAACGTTAATTGTTGGGTTTGTGTCTGCTGTAGATGCTGTGTGCCGGTTTCATTAGGCAATAGGTTCGTCGCTGGAGTTTTCTTCTGCTAATCCTTTCTGGACATCTGATCTTTAGTATCGACAGAAAGTGGCTGTTGGAAATGCTTTCGGCTATGTATGTGCCCAGTAAGTCTCTAAATCACTACTTTGACATTAGTGTTGAAACTTTGCATCCTGTCTCTTGTGCTGAGTGAAGTCGATCTCTACACTCATTTTAGAGTAATAAAGGTATGGTCTTACTATTCCAATCCTAACTTGCTTTGATATCCTCATCCGTACCTCCTGACTGTAGTTTGAAATGCTGCTGCCTAGGCGAATAAATGACAGTGGTGGTGACTTCCATTACATATCTCCCACTGATGGTGATTGCTGCTTCTGGCTGAAGTAGATAGAGTGGACTTTGGATACATGATCCACTGACTGGAAGTCAACTGCTTAAAGCGATGAGCCACATGAAATACAAACCAATAAAATAGTTTTGTAACAATTAGAAAACAACTATTTAAATTAAAACAGTTGTCCCCATCGTATTTTACAACTTTTCATCAACAGGTTTTTCAGGTGAATATACTATTAAACCCTGATAAATTTCAACGTCAGTCATTTTCTTCAATCCGACCAAGTTAAACTTAACGGTGAAAGCTTGTCTTTTAAACGAAAAGAAATCAACTAATGCTCATTCACTTATCTGGGGACCATTGTCTCAACTACAGGGTAACAG